AGTGATATGGAATTGCTGTTTCAGGAAATTTTTAAATCATGCTAATATTAGCCCAGTCCAGCAACTATGATAGTATTTAAATTAAAAAGGAAATGCAGGCAGTTGAAAAACATAAAGAAATACTGTAGCTTAAACTTCAGCTTGAAAGAAAATAAGTTAACTATTCCATTAACTTATTCTGTTTTCGATTTAGCACCATTGATTTGACACCCAATATATAATTAGATCAGAACTCTAAGTAGCTTCATAGTGGTTGGCATTAAAATTAGGGCTTCTATAGACAGTGCACATGCAAGGACTGAATTGCTTTTATTTTGTGCCTCCTTTGTTCCTTACAATTGGTTGCTAACATTTTCTGATGTGTGAACAGCTTTTACCCAGAGCATGCTTACTGTTTTCCACACATCTGTCCTGTCTCCCTAATCCTTGGGAAGAGAGTCCAGAGAGAGGAGCACTCTGTTAGCAGTCTAGGGTAGAGAGGTCTGTCCTACTGTCAATCCCAAAGACCCAAGAAACTGAGAGAGTTCAGGGCTGGCCAGGTCCTCTGAGAACTAGGGAGGCTTAAACTCTAACACTATCCAGGATCTTCCCACCTTTTTCCAGGATAAAATGACTCTCTTAGGGGAAACTAAGCTAATGTTTAATTTGAATATTGAGATCTAATTTAAAAAATGCTTTAAAAAAAACATATATGAAAATGGCAGAACTTTTTGCTTATTTCCTTATTTTAAAAACATTTTCCCCGAAGAATATTTTCCTGGAACATGTTTCAGATAAAATTAATTATCTTCAATTTCTGTAAAATCTAGGATTGGATATGGGACTGCCTACGTCTCCTAGGTAGTGACCAAGTGGGAAAGCAGATAATCTCACAACAAAATACAACCTTTAACGATGGAAAAGCAAGGTAGACATTGAGTGCTTTGATAAACAGCGCTGGGCAGTAGAGAAGAGCTCTGGGCTGAGAGCCGAGACCTGAACTCTAGACTGAGCTCTGCCATGAACTAGGCATGTGATTCTGGGTGGGCAAGCTGTGTAGTTTCTGTGGGCCTATCTTCTCTCAATACAAATCAGAGAACCTAAACTAGATGTAGATGGCCCCTACATCCATTTTAGGACTATGATTATATAATTTTATGAAATACCTGAGGAGAAGATGCAGTATCTCTATTAGAACACACAGGAGATTCTGAACGGCTGGTGCTGGCAGCATTCTGAGATGGATTTAGTTTCCTGTAAAGGACACACATGTTCTAGTTATGGAGAGAATTTTTAAATGTTCACAATGGAAAGCTTACCCTTGCTTTTCTTTTCCCATCTCAACACTAAAATAACAATGACTAAAATAATTACTTATTTGAATCATTTTTAAAGAAAAACATAAATAACTTACCTTGAGAGCACTGACTCTAATGACCGCCTGTCTATGTCATTGTATCCAGGCCAGTCTCTTTGAAGTTCTTTAAAAACATAATCCTTTAAAGTATATGAGAGGTCCTTAGGATTCAGATTGGCTACCTGGCACATGGTGTAAAAACAGAGCATTAGATATTTTTGCTATTACCTAACCTAAAAGAGGCAACTTTTTGGATTTATACTGAAAATAACTATTTCAACTGGCCACAAAGGGACTACTAGTTTTGCAAATGCCAGATCTCAATAAATGCTGTTCAACTTCATTGGGAATTAGAATTTTATATACCTAGCTAAATATTTTTTCCTGAATAGCCACTGCCTTTGTCATATTTCTAATCAAATAATAAGCACACATTAGGCAAAAAGTAGAGGAAGAGTTAATCAATTTTTCCAGTCAAAGGAATCCCAAAACAGTTATGTTATCAACTTCATTTTTATTCATTATTACCTACTTTTGAGTTAGTAAAATTCCTTGGTCATTTCTGTTAAGTAGAAACCAAACAGTATACAAATGTTAGGTTAAAAATTTTCCTTTCAGTAATCAACAGAAATTATCTCCATAAATAGTACTGATTCTGATAACTGCCATTTTCTTGGATAGCTAAGCTTGCTCTCTGTTGCTGCCAATTCTCCTGAAGAACCATTTCTTCAAAGTCCTTGAAATTCTTGAAAACCATTAAATGGAAACATTAACCAAATTAACCCTTAAATTACTGTTATTAGTCAGCCAGTTTATTTCCAGTGTAATCTTTTCTTATCCCTTAACTACAATTCCTAGAGTGTCCAGGACTAGATTCTATTTACACAAATATAAAGATTGAGGTGCCAAACCAAGACTCATTTTTAAGGCTGGCAGAAAGATTCCTCCTGTCATTTCCTACTGGAAAGGTCTTTTTAATAACTTGACTTCTTTCTGTATCTTTTTAAAGTACTATCAAATATATTATAATAGAATATGCTTTTCACACAGCTCAGCTGAATACTAATCTAATATTACCGTTGTTAAAAAGTAGAAAATGGTAGGCTTATTTTAAAATTCAAATTTGCAAATCAATTAACACGAGATACAACCAGATTTCTCAAAGTGGAATAAATACGACAGTCCTTAGATTTTCTATTATCCCAGGGCACTATGAATACTAACAATACCCCAAAACTAGATATTATGGTTTTATTTTTTCATAGCATTTAGTATCATGCTTTGAATGTAAGAGAGGATTAAAAAAGTAGACTTAAAAGTGTTATTCTTTGAATAACGGATGAAAACCTGCAGGGTTTTTTTTTTTTTAAATAATGAAATTTAAGAACAACTTTGGAAATGTCACTGCTTTAGGAAAAAAGCAAACAGATGGACTACCATTTTTGGTGGATTTGAATGCTAATCAACATCTATGACCCAAGGTGAGTATGAAAAGATAGAAAGTTATAGTCTGACAACAGTTGGCTTTAACAAAATGAATGACCTACTTTTATACTTAAGCTTGTGATAAGATGACTGATCAGAGCTAATACTTCATACATTCATATCCTTAAATGAAGACAAGTAACTGATCTCAACATACCCAATAGTAGAAAAATGCAGACTAATAAAGGCAGCAAAGAGTATGCAGGGCAAGACACATTCTAAACTATTTAGTAGGTAAAAATATTTTAGTTTATACCAACCAAAGACCTATGATACATTCCATAATTTCACCTATATAAACCAATAAAAATTACAGCAATAGTTTAGGTGTTTCGAGACGAAAAACAGACAATACAAACTTCTTGCTTATTTTTTTTTTTTAATGAAATTTCAAGGCAAAATTTATTTAACTCAAATGAAGATAATGACTCAAAATTAAAAATTTTTTTTAAATTAACAATTCAAAAGTCTCTAACTTATAAAACCTAGTATAGTCTACGGCCGTGCCACCCTGAACAAGCCTGATCCTGTCTGATTTCGGGAGTTAAGCAGGGTCGGGCCTGGTTAGTACTTGGATGGGATACTACTTGGAAGACCAGGTGCTGGAGGCATAAAAAATAAAAAATAAGAGATTGTAAGTTGACAAGGTTCTTGCAATCTGTGAGGTCAACTAAGGGTTGCCTCGCCTAAAAAATAAAATAAAATATTGAATTGGTTATTATGAAAAAGGGTCCTTGCCTTAAATGAATGAATGAATGAATGAATGAATGAATGAATAAAAAAATAAAAAAAACCCCTAATATAAATGCCCACATTTCAATTAGTTTTTAACTAAATGTTTAAAACAAGATGATTTAACTTAATATTCAAGAGTTATATTTCACATAGCATTATCAAAACAATCTTGGAATTTCTCTACCTCAGTAATAATAGTAACAACAACAAGCCTTCTTAAATAAACTTCTCAACAAGAAGGTAAGTGGAAGGAACTCTTTCCAGCTGTCCTTACCTGTTGCAGAATTGCTCCAAGGGAGTTCTTGTCTTTTTGATTGACACCATCTTTCTGCAGTCGAGCCAGAAGCTCAGGTTTCTTGTAGGTCTTCAGTGCCAGTAAGTGAATCACCCTGTCCCTATATGGCCGCTGAGAAACACTGCTGCTGCCATATGTCTTTCGAATCGTATTTGCAGGATTCATGGGGGTTGACCTTTTCCTCTCAGGCACTGCATCTGAAACAGCTTGAGGCGCTTTCCGAATTTGCACTCTTTTCCCTAAAGTCCAGTGGAAATGACATTGTTACACATTTGTGGGTAAAAGTAATAATATAACGAGCATCTCAGTTTCCACAACTCTGAGTTAGGTACTTGTTCATTTCTGGAGGGAATAAAGACTACTAGTTTATTTCAGTTTTTACTTTAAAGAGATATGCAAACAGAAAGCATTCTGAAAAAATGACCTAAAATATGAATTAGGAATTTTTTGATGAAATCATTAATTGGAATAAATATGTATTAAGTAAGTATTTTGGCCACTTAGCTACACATAGATAATATTTAGTGACACACCATACCAACAGACTAGAAATTTTAAGGTTGTGGGTATTTAATGTTCACCTATGCTATTTATAGAACTTAAATCTACATGTTATATGTCATTTATTTGGCAGATGTGAATACAGCAAATATGTGGAATGTGAGAAATATTTGTTGTACCCCACTAAGAACACACCCTTGGCAGAGCTGGAGCATGACCTTAATTTCTGATTCAGAAGCCACAAAGAGGGGAGTCAGGCACAATCTGGGATCAACATCCACAAGGGCATCCCCAAGTGATATTTCTTTTCAATAGGCCACAACAAATTTTAGAAGTCAAAAAGCAAAAACAACACAATGCAATATATATATATTGCACACACACATGCACATATGCCTTACTGCTAAATTGTACACCTGAAACTTACTGGATTTCATTAACTAATGTCACCATAAAAAAAATAAAAAGACTTGACCAAGAGAGAAAAAAAAGATCAAGAACAAAACCAATCGACCAACCAACCAACCTCAGAGGGCCGGATAAACAAGATCTCTCCCCTGTGGTGCTTTGAGAGTTAGAGGAACGGAAAACAGTAAAAAGGCAGCCTTTACACTATTCCCAGTGACATTCACATAATTAATTCACTTTCTGCTGAGACTTAACATGGACAAGTGTTTGGCAAGTGGCTACTTCCAGAACCTGAAGACACATCGAAATTCCTAATGTGGCAAATGCAAAACCTACCAAATCTACCATTTCTCAGTTGCAATAATGTTAAACAACAGTACTATTCCTCGAACTTTTAATAGGGATTTGTGAAAAAAAAAAAAAAAAAAGGATCAGGGTCACAGACATTTAGGAAAGGCTATAAATTCCATACTACCCTCTCTATTGTTTAACTTATCCTTCCCTAAACCAAGGGGACTGTGGAGCACCCCCGCTCCAACTCTCTGGGAAGAGGGATGGGTAGAGAATGTTTAGCTAAGCTCACACACACCATGACTGATTATTTAGAATAAATTTAAGCTGGCAAAGAGGGCAAATAAAAATGAAAACGAAAGGTAACAGTATTGCCACTGTGTTGTGGGCTGTCCTACCTCTTTTCTGTACATCTGATCTACCTCTGATCCTCAGTCTCAGGAGAGCCCCAAATTCTCTTGAGTTTACCTCCATCTCTCTATGAAGTAGACATAGGGCAGACAAGTAAGGGAGGCTAACTCTGCCCTTAAGAGTGTAGTATGTTTGACAAGCAATTAGAATCTGGTCAGGTATATGACAGTCGTACCTGGGGCCTAATGCTAGGCTTTCATCCATCAGTCCACGAATCTCCGACCCCTAATACATTCATTTAACCTTTACCTCATTTTTCTTTTAAATAGTCATGGAGTAAACCCATTTATTGCAAATGCTGCAAAAACAACCCAGCCACACTGGGCCACTGAGTTTTACACAGGGATCACTTGTTCACTGACTCTCGATCAATTTGTGCCTATTTAACCAAGAAGGAGTATTTTGGTTAAAGTCAGAGAGCCTACAGGTAAAGAAAACATCAGTACTATAAGTAGTTAAAGAACCGAGATGCTAAAGGAAAAAAATGAAAGAAAAAAGTAAAGCAGAAAAATGTCAGGTTTAAAGTAGGCAGAAGAAAGGCTTTATTTTTATTTTTTACATGTGCCTCAGAAAAGCCCTTATAATAAAGCCTATGGGAGAACCTAATTCTCTTCCCAGACCTGACTGCTAATCAATTCCCTGGGCTCCATATATAAACAGTAGCAGTGGGTCCAACAGGGTTGGGTATTCTGGGATTATATCTACACTGTTGTTTCATAACAAGAAGTCCACTTCTAGCTTCTCTATTTAATATGAGATGGTAAAATTATGTATCCCTCTATCTAGTGGCTCTGAGTAAATAATCTGAAAGGATGGATGTTAAAACAGAACGTCAGGAAGAGAGCGGAGATTGCAGCCATCTCTTGTAGTAGTTTTTCTGTTCTGTGGAACCTGACCAGAAGCTCCGGCAACACTGACCAAAGGCTTTATAAACACTTGCCGGACCTTGATGATGGTTTGACTCTGTCATGGTTAAATATATAACCTGTCGCAGTGGAATCGATCTCCACCACTTGGCACTTATGATCAATTTTCAAAAGGTTTACTATCAAAATATATATACGCAAGTCACAAAATGTTAGAGATACAAAGAACCTTAGGTGTTATCTAGTTCAAATATCTCTTATTTAATTTAATATTTGAGGAAATTAACAAAGTCACTCAGACATGTACTAACTCATCAGAAATTAGGATGATAGAGGTAGAAGTTAGGAAAATCAGGAATAGAATATGAGAAATTAGAGTGGTTGGGTTGTTTTATATACCTAAATATTAGCATGCATAAAAATTTACAATTTAATAAAATTCCATAATTTAGGTAGAAATCAGAATTTAGGTAGAAATCAGTGAGCAGTCTTAAGATTCTGGTAAACTTGAAGCAGTGGTGATTAATAGCCTTTTCTTTGTTTTTTAAACAAAGAAAAGGATATTAACAATGCAATGCTTATTACTGATAAAAATGCTATGACTAGAAGTGAAAATATTACTAAATAAATAATAATCATGTTTTCTAGGTTAAAGCCTCCCCCGCTCCTCTCCAGGCAAAACAGGGTTTTTTCAGCCCATCAGAGGGTTGTAGAAATTCATATTCTTGGGTGACTAGGCCAGGTGACCCCTCAGAGCAGAGTCTTCATTCCCTTAAGCTGGACCTGTGCCCTAATTCAACTGTTAGAGGCCTTGCTCGGCATTATGCTAGCACAACCCCACAGTGGGGCCAGCATTATTCCCAACTGTCCTCTGTCTAGGCTGACACTGTTGAAAGAAACCTTGCTATGCAGGTACCTCTAAGCTGGCATAGTGAGCTTTTGGTATCATTTTATATGATATATTCAATTATGAACTAAAGAGCTATCTCCTATTGTCTTAAGAAAATGACACTACTTGTTAGTGAGGCCAACCCCATGTCATTTGCTATTTGCTGATACTAACAACTTGATATGTAAATGGAGAGGTAATCGTAATCTACCTCACAGGGGATTCTGAGATTTAGGGGAGTAACTACATGTTAAGTGATAACCAGTACATCTCTAGCACTCAGTAAGTGCTGGGTAATATTATTATTAAAGGGTGACTGACACCATTTTAAAGAACTGAATGACTCATATAGTTTTGAGATACTGAAAAAAGCCAGAAGGTATGCACTGAGCTAACCAAAAGGGAAAGAAACATGGTAAAGGACTGGCAATGGATAAAGTTAAAAAAAAAAAAAAAAAAAAATCAAAACGACTGAAAAGTTTTAGGATACTAGTCTTTTGCTCCTCTATTCAGAATTGATCAGACTTTTTTCTTAAGAGTAATGTGTCCAATTTTGAATTTTGAGGTGAAGAACTGGAGGTAGTCCAGAGAAGAGTAATAAAAATAATTAAAGGGTTGCAATACAGGCCATATTAAGAAAAGTTAAAAGGAGCTGGGGTTTATTTGACCTAGAGAATAAAAGGCTGAGGAGGTTAATGACAAGATTTAAGACCAGAGAAAAACACTGTGCTGTGATGGTGAGTGGCTGAGGGCACTGAGGACAAAGCACAAAAGACAAGATGAAACAGATCCCTTGGGATGGCAGAGAACACTGCAGGGCTCTGAGGTGGGAATATATGTGTATGGAGAGCGGCCATCTCTTCTCAGAAGGGTACAGACGTAATATGGTTCAGATTAAAACTTAGATAACCTCAAATTTTATGTGGTAATTCTCAAAAATGTATATAAATTATCTGTAGTGCCTATAAGAAACTCTGCAAATTCTAAAATTACTGTACCATTAGAGAGTGTATTGTCTATGAGATTCCGGGTGAAGTCTGTTGTGTAAGCTGTAAGTGAACTGTACCTGACTCTATCAAAATAAACAAAAACACATGAATGTAGGGGACACCCAAGGATCATTCAATGGAAAGGTACAGTAATCATCACTGATTTTCAAACTTTGGAATAAATCAAGGTAAGAGTTTTCAGTTAGTTGTATTGGGAGGGGGAAGAAATCATTCTGATGGCTTGAGTCTTTTATTCCTTTGTCAAACATGCCAGTTCATCTCACTGTTTATAAAATGGTGGTATTGGACAGAGTAAAAACCAACCAACCAACCAACCAACCAACCAACAACAACAAAACACTTTCGAAGCAACAGGGACAGAAAATTCATAGTTTGTACTTAAATTTAAGCATGGCAGATCTTGTACATTTTAAAAATAATTTGAGATTTAGCCTACTAGCAAGGAAAGTTAATTATTTGTGAGGATAAAGGAAAAAGAAAGGAA